TGTATTTCAAAAACCTTTTGCTAACAAAGATAACCTAACAGGACAGACATGAGACAGAAAGAATGTCAAAGCTTTTAGAAAATGCTGAATATCTTATCCAAATATGCAGGATATTTATCATGGACTTTCTTACGTTACTTTTGAAATAAACTCATCATTTTTAACAATTCAGCTCTTAATTTTAGGAGCCTCTTATTTATCTTTGTTGTTTCTTTGGATAGGATTTTTTAAACATTATTTTTTTGTACATAAAGTAAGCGAAAACCTGAATTTCCATTGGGTATTGTCACATATTCAAAGTATTCATGCCAAGGACCCATTATAATGAAAAGATACTGATATTGCTAGCTTTCGTTTTTGAAAGACCAAATAACCCATTCATTATTCCATAAAAGGAAACCAGTGATCTGCCGTTCAAAAGTTTACTGCTTAAGTCTGAACCTACCAATCTTAATGTAATGAAAACACAAAACAATGGAAACCCAAAGCCTCTAGTTGACTTTATTACCATGAGAAATTTGAGAGCAAAAAAATTAGCGGTAACGGTGAAGCTGCAAGGTGTTGCGCCGTCTCCAAGCAGCACGGCGTGAGCCACCAATTGTGTGATGGAACTTGTGGCCCTTGCCAAGGCCACGGCTCTTCCTCCCAGCAGAGGTCAAGCCACGCATCTCTCTGTGCTTGTGAACTGGCATGGTGATCCATTGGCTGTCTGGGTTGCGCCGGATGGCCTTGTGGAAAGGGTCAACCAGGATGACTTCAAAGAACTTGTAGGTGGAATCCTCTCCCACCCAGTAAGAGTTGAGTACTCTCAGGGCTCCACAATGGCGGCCGGCACGTTCCTAGGCGTAAAAAGGCAGAGTTCAACAAGAGTTTTGAAAGATGGCTGGTATTTTGTTATGACACTTGTCAACTACTACAACAAAGACATTATAGATAAATACTCTTTTTCAAGCAGCAGGAATGTATTATTCTTTTAGGCTTCTGGTGCTATATTATCCGTGAACACTATCATAGTAGAAGCAACATCAGTGGAATGCTAGAGTTTTAGTAGAAGGCAGAGGTGAGCAGCGTAAGGTCCCCAAGATGGCATTTCACGGCAACTCCCATGGTTCTTTACCATAGGCCATTTAGTACCGATGAAAGCTGCCATTCAGTAACATCAAGAACCACACATTACTTCTGATAGAAGGAAAAAATGGGCAGAGAAGCAGAACAAGGAACACAGTATACATAAATTCCCCATCAGCTTGCAATGCGTCACAATAACTTGATATCTGAAATAATACTTGTCTGTGCTTGCTTTCCCAAATACTGTATAATCTACATACCATATGAAGTAGTATATCAAAATGAACAGGAATACAAGCAGTATACACAAATCTATTTCACAGTAATAGAATGCCTACTGCATGTAAACATGCATTTCCTGATTTTGAATAGACTTTCCATATATGTCCACTTTTATGTCATATTCATTTGCCTTTTAAGAAAATGTTCTCAGTACGTTATTCTGCACACCACATATCATACCAGCTTTAAGACAGACAATCTTATATTTCACTGTAAAATTAGACTATAAGAATACATTACATCAAAAGTGCCACTGTTGTTCATTAACCATTCCAATCTTATTTGCTCAATGTGAGCTATTTAAATTGTTTCTGTACTATCTTCTCACACAGGAGTATTAAAATCATTTATGGATGTATGAGTTAAAGGGTTTAAAGAGACAACTGAAAAAAATAGAGAATTATCTTGTGTTATTTTCTGTGTGAGAAAGGACTACAGTTTAAGTGATAATTTCAAACTGTCTGGAAATGATAATTGTAAGAAAGTCTGACAATGGTCACAAAAATTTCCCCACCTCTGCTACAGACTGAAGGCTCCGGGCAAATTTCAGTTGGTTAACTCCATGATGCACGGGTTTACCATAAGTAGCACCCTTAGGAACCGGACGCTTACGGCCACCACGACGAACACGAATACGGTAGATGACATAACCTATGACAAAAAGCAAAGAGTTGAACAACAAATTTCACAGTCAAAGTATTAGCATTGTAGCAGATATTCCTCTCCATGTTATGTTGCTTTTAACTTTCTAAAAAAATATATTTAGCAATATAGTAAGCATTCATCCAGTAATGGGAAACACTATGTCCTTACACAGTTTATACAGACACTACAAAATTGCATTAAGCATAAAAGATGCTGGAAGTTGTTTACCCTGCACCTCATAGCTAAATGGCAAGATTTGCTGTAGCAAGATATGTAGAGATGAAGCCAATGTTTCAACCTGTTATCTCAGAGGTGCTCTTGCCCCAGTGATGCATAGAAATGAGGCAGCATTATGTTTATACTTTAACGATTTAAATCAAATAGTAAAGAGTACCATATATTCAACTGCCCTAGGCACAGAACCCACATTCATGTCCACTTGGTTTCTGAAATTGCAGTTACCTTGTTTAGCTTTGTATCCCAACCTGCGAGCTTTGTCTGGTCTGGTGGGACGAGGAGCTCGATGAAGAGCAGATAACTGGCGATACTGCCAGCAGCGAACGCGCAACAGGAAGCGCATCACATCCGACTGCTTTTTCCTCCATAGTTCTTGGATATACTTGTAGGCACCCATTCTGGCTTACCTGCAAAGAGAGGCAAATTTACATCACAATTCATCCCTAGGCACATGCACATTTCCACTCTTCCCAAGAAAAAGCAACATTTTTCTGCACGTGGCAACAAAGTGCAGCATTTAATACAACATGCCTGGTTTCTACACACTTTAACTTGAAAAAACACATTTATCCCAACTGTAGCACCAAAACACTGCTTTTATATAAAAAAAATCTGACAAACTACCAATAAATACTAGTTATTTTTTCAATTCTAAAATGCACTTTATCACCATATAAACATCTCTAGAAATAAATAAAAATAACTTTTTGCTGTTAGTGGTACTGAAATTAGTGTATGTCTTACTATCAATGATGTCATAGAACTGAAGAAATACTGTCAAAGTGTTATAATTCTTTGAGCATCAACTCTTTCTACAAGTTGTTTGGATAAAGGAGCATTAACTCAAAGGACTAGTTATATTCCTTCCCACATGAAAACAAAGTGTAAAACAACCCCATCCAAACATTTTTTCCCCCTACAAACAGCTCAAAAATCACAAAATGGTTTTTATATTTATATTTTTTATTTTTTGTTTTTAATTTATAATGCCATAGCATCATATACAGTACACAGAGGAAATACATTTATATTATGTGTGAAAGAGCAAATCCCATAAGTAGCATCATATACAGTAATATATAGGACCCCTTGATGACTTTTGGACCACACTACACTAATCTTGAAAGTCCAGATTTCTTATGATTGTAGAGCCTTTTTTAATATTGGTAGCCAGATTTTGTTCATTTTCATGGTTACCGATATTAAATATGACAACCAGTAAATAAAGAACAACACTCAAAAACAGGGGGATTCCAGACAAGAAACAAACAGGGCCAGCCAATCACAATCTGGCCCGACCTATCTGTCCGAACGCATCTCGTCCTATGAACCAGTTAGGACATTAAGATCGTCTGGAGAGGCCCTGCTCTCGGTCCCGCCGGCCTCACAAGCACGCCTGGCAGGGACGAGAGACAGGGCCTTCTCAGTAGTGGCCCCTCGGCTGTGGAACGCCCTTCCTACAGACATCAGATTGGCCCCCTCCTATCTGGCATTCCGGAAGAGAGTGAAGACTTGGCTCTTCGAACAGGCTTTCAACTAAGCAGTGCAATTGATTGATTATTGGAATATGGATTAATGGAAAATGAGAGTGGATGCTTATTCTATTGATGAGACGTGATGGATTGTTATTTTGTTGTATTGTTGGATTGATGTTTTGATGTGAATTAATTGATATTGCTGTTTTAACTGATTAATGATTTCCCCAGACAAAAAGAAGCCAGACCTTGAAACTGTCAGGCCATCAAATGCTAATTAAGGTGGCCAATTGAAACATTCACACCTAGCTCCAACAGACAAGAGTTCTTTCTCCCACAGATATATAAACCCAATTTTCCTAGTTTCCAACAGACCTCACAACCTCTGAGGATGCCTGTCATGGATGCAGGCGAAACATCAGGAGAGAATGCTTCTGCAACATGGCCATACAAACTCAGAACCCAGTGATTCCAGCCATGAAAGTCTTCGACAATACAACTCACAAGAACGTGGTAGGCTTTACAAAATCAACTTTGGATTGGACATGACATTATCTAAGAGCCAAGCATGTGCTCTTATCACTGAACTGAGGCCTCCTCTATAGAAATGCCCACTGGGAGTGCATCTACACTGTAAAAATAATGCAGTTTGACACCACTTTGACTGCCATGAAGTCATGGGAGTTGTGGTTTGGTGGGGCTCCTGCACTCTTTGAAGGAAGGCTAACGGCCTTGTCAAGCTACAGCTCATACCATTGAGCCATGGCGGATAAAGCGGTGTCAAACCGCTTTAATTCTACTAATGCACCTTAGGGGGAACCGAATGGCACCTCCTGGGCCTATCATTAGGCCTCTGCATAATGAGAAAGGCCTCCTAAAGTAGCAGGGGGCTTTCCTCTCCTCCCGCCACCCCTTCAATCCCTTCCGGCTCGGGACTTTCTTCCTCGGCTGCCCTAGGCCCAACGCACGCCACCAGAGGCCACGGAATTAAACGCTCCTCGCCCCGTCACCGCCATGAAAGCCCACCCGCCTTCTCCTTCGGCCTCCCGCCCACAAAAGGCGACCCCAACAAGACTCCGGGAAGCCCCCTGAGTTTAGGATGGCGACCGATTAAAGCGGCTGCCATGAACGAACCTTAGCTGACGGCGCCCGGAGCCGGAAAGGAAGAGGCCTAATTCCCACAATGCTTTGCGGCAGAATCCACGGAGCCCGGCGAGGGAGGCGGGGCCAGGCGGGAGTTAGGCGCAGAGGCTGCTGGGGAACGTAGTTTCCTAGAGCACGGAAGTGGGAGGGGTAGCATTGGAGGGAAACGCCGTTCAGCCTCGTTCCTTCAGGAGGTGAAGCTTGTAGTCCCCTCACATGCTGGGCTAAAATTGTAAAATGGGGAGCTCTGGCTTCGGGTTTTTCTTCAGAGTCATGTTCTTTACCCTTAGTTGTAGAGTTGGGCTAGCCAGACAAAGCAGGTAACGCCTGGAGTTGGTGCTGGCGCTCTGCATATGCTCAGAGGCGCTCTTGCGTTTGTTTTTTCCCAACTTTTTGTGTGTCAGGAGTGACTTGAGAAACTTCAGGTCGCTTCTGGTGTGAGAGAGTTGGCCGTCTGCAAGGACGTTGCCCAGGGGACGTCCTGATGTTTTGATGTTTTTCACCATCCTTGTGGGAGGCTTCTCTCATGTCCCATGGGGAGCTGGAGCTGACAAAGGGAGCTCATCCACGCTCTCCCCGGATTTGAACTCCGACCTGTTCAGTCCTGCTGGAACTGTCAAAGGGAGCTCATCCACGCTCTCCCCAGATTCAAACTCCGACCTGTTCAGTCCTGTTGGCACAAGGTTTCAACCCATTGTACAACCAGGGGCTCCTGATAGTCTCATAATTGGGCCCTTTGGTGATGCAGCATGTTAAACTGCTGGATTTGCTGACTGAAAGGTTGGTGGTTCAAATCCCCAGGGGGGAGAGCCAGGGGAGCTCCCGCTGTTAGGCCCAGCTTCTGCCAACATAACATTTTGAAAACGTGCAAATGTGAATAGATCAATAGATACAGCTCTAGCGGGAATGTAATGGCGCTCCACGCAGTCATGCCGGCCAAATAGCCTTGGAGGTGTCTACAGACAACGCCGACTCTTTGACTTAGAAATGGAGAGTTGGACACGACTAGAATTAATGTCAGGGGAAACTTTTACCTTTTAGTCTTAAAATTAGGATAGAAATCTTTCCCCAGATAGAATATGTTGGAAGAAAGTAGCAATAATAAATAGTGGCTGCTTCTTTTATGTATATAATTGTAATAACTGGACCTTAGAAATGAAAAAACATGATTGTGAATGCAAGTATTATAATTACTATTACTGTCCTACTTTATCTCTCTTAAAAAGAAACCCAAAGCAACTAACAATAAAAGCATACTCTGGTTTTTCTTCAGATCATATAATAAAAGCAATATGTGTGATTTTAAACCTAAAAAATCATAAAAACATTAACAGAGTTAAATATTTAAACCAATTAAAACTATAGGTTACTATAAGTTTTTGATAAATATGTATTAAATAAAGTCTTCAATATATGTTTTTGCTAACATGAAATATACATTTCAGATATTAAAACTGTAGATAACATTTCTTCAGTGAGCTGTCTCTGTGTATATCACATGCAACTGTTGACATGTTACTTTGTCAGAGAAAGGCTTTATCAGAAGAAGGCTTACACAATGCCTAGCTTGAGTATTTTAATATATTTTTTGTGCAAATTCCCTAATGTTTTACCTATTATTTTAGCACTTTGGCTTCCAGATGTTTCCCACAGATCAGCTTTAAGCAGAATAAATAAATTAAAACTGATATTTAAAGTAGTACATCTAATACTGGTATTGGTCCAGTTTGAGTTTCTGGTTCTGGCAAGTATTACTATTATTATTATTATTATTATTATTATTGACACAGAAACACAGTATGACACAGCAAACGAGATATATACACTGGTTTTCATATCACAAAATCACAAGTCAAACACTTCCCAAGCGTTTAGGACTGTGTGATATATTTTCGAATGATGCATGCAGATCCAAGTAAGGTGGCCTTTTGCAGTTGACAGATCGTGATTTTATCAGTGTTTATTTTTTCCAAGTGCCGGCTGAGAGCTTTTGGCACAGCACCCAGTGTTGCCGATTACCACTGGGACCATCTGTACTGGTTTATACCAGAGCCTTTGCAGTTCAGTTTTGAGGTCCTGACAACGGCTGAGTTTTTCCTGTTGTTTTTCCTCAATTCGACTGTCACCCGGTATGGCAACATCAATAATCCAATCTTTTTTTCTTTTCCACAATCGTGATGTCTGGTGTATTGTGTTCCAAAACTTTGTCAGTTTGGATTCGAAAGTCCCACAGTATTTTTGCGTGTTCATTTTCCACTACCTTTGCAGGTTTATGATCCCATCAGTTCTTTACTACTGGCAGATGGTACTTGTGACATAAGTTCTGATGAATCATTTGGGCCACATAGTTGTGCCTCTGTTTGTATTTGGTCTGCACGATTTTCTTGCAGCAGCTGAGGATATGATCAATGGTTTCATCAGCTTCTTGCACAGTCTGCATTTTGGGTCATCAGCTGATTTTTTGATCCTGGCCTTAATTGCATTTGTTCTGATGGATTATTATTATTATTATTATTTCTCCTTAAAGAGACTCAAAGAGGTGAACAGTGGTCAAAACAATACAATCTAAAACCTAAGGATATTTAAAATAGAATTAACCCTAGAACTATCTAAAAATGAATACTGGAACAGAAAAAAACAGAACTGTGACTTAATTGTGTTTAATACTTGTATTATTTTGATGTGTTTTAAATAATTGTAAGATGCCTTGAAAGAAAGAAAAAATGGGATATGAATGTATTAAATAAATAGTAAATATTTTTGTCTTGTCATCTGCAGAGGTCATCCATACTTGTTGTACTGTACTTTAACAGGATTTATTCAAGGAAGCCTTTCAATCTGAAAGGAAGATGGGGAAAGGCTTCAAAGTGGTGGTTTGTGGAATGGCTTCAGTGGGGAAGACGACTGTTTTGGAGCGAGTTCTGTATGGTCATCACAGGATTGGTAAGAGACATAGGTTCTAGGTTTTTGTTTACAGTTAGGTGTCGTAAGACAATTATCCATCCTGTTTTATACATCATTAAATAAGTAAGCAATACGTTTAACGTGATAGAAGAAGCACCTATGGTACAGTTCTTGGATTGTTCATCTTGTAGTGTAGTGCAGGGGTTTTAAAGCTTTTTCACTCATGACCTTTTTTGGCCCAATAATTTTTTACGTGACCTGGGTGTATAGGAATAGAAAATGGGTATAAATGTTTACTGATAACAAACCAGCATTTGCAAGGCTTGCTAAACAGACCAGTTTTCCTTTTTATGAAGTACAGCTGAAGCATCTTCTGTAGAGTGTACTGTAAACACTGCACAACAGATTAATGTAAATGTCTAAAGCAGCCACTAGATGACATTCAGAACACAGTTACTGTTGCCAATTTTGGGGACCCAAGCATTGAGTGAAGGGGGCCCCATTTGGGGCCAGGACCCACAATTTGAAAAGCAGCAGTGAACTGGCAAACTCAACTCGCTGAGTTAGAAATTTGAGTCATGGAGGAGGTTTCAGTTTTGCCAGGCATTGAATAAACAAGAGAAAGAATGATTCTGTATCTGGCCTTGAAACATCAATGTATAATTATGTCTCTTTAGAATAAATAGAACAGATCAAAGACAAAATCTGTTATCTGGGCATTTCAGTTTCCAATCTTTGGGGGGGGGGGGTAAATTAACTGGTGGGATATTTGAATTGGGTTTCTATCTTGGTGCAGCTACACCTTACCTGGGGGCCGGATGCAGCCCCTTGGGTTCTTTTCTCAGACCCTCCTTTCTCTCACCTCCTTTCTCTCTGTTCTTTTTCTCTTTCCTTCCTTCCTTCCCTCCCTTCCTTCCTTCCCTCTCTTACTCCTTCCATCCTTCCCTTCCACCATTTTGCCCTTCCTTCCCTCTTTCCTTCTTCCCCTTCTTTCTCCTTCCTTCTATCCTCCCCCCTTGTCTTCCTCGCTCCCTTCTTTCACTCCCTCTTTCTCTCTCTGTCCCTCCTTCCATTCCATTCCTTCCCTCTTTCCTTCCTCCTTCCCTTCCTTCCATCCTTCTCTTCCTCATCAGCACTCCCCTTCTTCCTAGCCTCTCCCCCCTCCCCCCAATATCGATGGCATGGCGGCTCCTCCTCCACCTCCTCTTCCATTGATAAGATAGAAGGGGTATAGAAAAGGGTGACCACCATAATGGTTTGAAGTCAAGCCCTATGAGGAGCAGCTGAGGGAACAGAGAGATGTTCAGTTGGGAGAAGAGACAGTTGAGGGGGAATATGAGAACCATGTTTCAAGCTTTAAAAGGATGTCCTGTTGAGAAGGAGGGGGGAAACTAACTTTTTGCTGCTCTAGAGACCAGGGCACAAGGGAGTACAAGTTTCAAATGGCAGGGAAAGAGATTTGACTGAAAAGATTAGGAAGAACTTCCTGAGAGAAAGAGCTGTTGGAGATTGTCATAGGCTATTTGGGAGTGTAGTGGAGTCTCTTTCTCTGGAGGCTTTTCAGCAAAGGCTGTCTTTTGGGAGTACTTTGATTGTGTCTTCTAGCATGGCAAACAGTTGGACTGGATAGTCCTTGGGGGGTCTCTTCCAGCTCTAGGATTCTAGGATTATATATCAGGAGTAGTCAATACATAGTCTAAGTGGATATACTTTTTCTCTCCCATCCACCATCTCAACCTGACTGTGGCCAGCCTTTTTGGGATATAAACGTTTTCCGTCTTTTCCTTTACTTTCTGCCTCTGAAAGAGAAAAGAAGGGGAAGAAAGGGCAGGGAGGGGACTTAGGGAGAACCCCCCCCCCTCTCTCAGCCTGCCCACTCCGCTACGGTCTGCCATGTGGGCCCCAAGTTAGAAATTTTGCTCATGCCTGATCTAAATTGTAAAAATAATGGAGTTTGACACCACTTTAATTGTGTGGCTCTATGCTATGGAATCCTGGGAGCTGTAATTTGCTGAGGCACCAGCAATCTTTGACAGAGAAGGCAAAAGACCTTGTAAAACTCCCATGATTCAATAGCACTGAGTCTGGCAGTTAAATGGTGTCAAACTGCTAATTCTACAGTGTAGATTCACTTTCTGCTGTGTCCTCAGTAACCCTTTTCACTCTTTTCTGTAATTTCTTGCTGTGACTGTTCCCAGACTTCGTAATTTGTAAAACTTTGCAATGTGTAGTTTGTAAAACAGTGTCTGGTATTGGAATGATAATTAAGTAGTAAAATGTAACTAAACAATATACTTTTTCTATATTGAGCAATTAGTAACAATGTGTGTATGTGTGTGTGTGTGTGTGTGTAGAGAGAGCTAGAAATAAGCATGTTTAGGGGTGAAGGATCATGGGAGTAGTAGTTTATTAATGTCTGTAGACTATAGGTTTCTCATCCCTCCTTAGTGTACAGCTCTTATTTCCTCCCATATCATTACAACAGTTTTCTTATGATAATTGAAAAAGAGTAAATATGGGCATTGAATGACGCATCAGGAAAAGCAAGGACTTGGTGCAAATTGTATTCTGTTCGGAATGGAGTATACCTATTATAATTGCCCATTGACAATTAGTTATGATGTTACAATAGCCACATGAAAAAAATACAAAAAGAAATCAATTTTCAGTCACTGCAGAAACAGTGAAAAACATTGTCAAAATCATTATAGTCGTTGATCATGTCAAGAATTTGTCATGACTAGGGGAAAATAAATGAAAAACCCCTACAATAAATGTACAATTGGATTTTTCCAAGTTTATTATTTTAGAGCCATTTTCTCCTTTTCAAAATAATAGATGATGAATATTTGGCAACTATAGAAGATGTGTATGTGGCTTCAGCTGAAACGGATCGAGGAATCAAGGAACAGTTACGGCTGTATGACACCAGAGGAGTGCGAGAGGGAGAGGAATTTCCCAAACACTACTTCTCCATTGCAGATGGTTTTGTCCTGGTGTATGCTGTGAACAGCCTAAAGTCCTTTGAAATTGTGGACTGGCTCAAGAAGGAGATTGACAAGCTGAGAGACAAAAAAGAGGTAAAATAAGTCCCCAAACCTTCTGATCCCTTCAATCCTTGACTGTCTCAGCTAATATATGATAACATGATGTATCGAGGACAAGCTTGTCTCCTAAACTAAGTTTCTCATTAACCTACAGGTCAGGGAGTTTTCTGTGTGCCAGAAAATTTATGGCTGGGGAGATGAGAGAAAGGGAAACACTGCCACTTCAAAGAAGCAGCAAAGAGGAAGTGTTTCTCTTTCAATTTGCTCCAGGGGTTAGGGCACATTGTCGAATTCATGCAGTTTGACACCACTTTGGCTGGATCTGCACTGACATATAATCCAGTTTCAGAATTCAGATTAACTGCATTGAATTGGACTACATGACAGTTTAGATCCAGTCTTTATCTGCCATTCCTCAATGCTATGGAATCATGGGAGTGATAGTTTTAAATGGTCTTTAACCTTCTCTGCCAAAGACTGATGGTGCCTCATCAAACTATAAATTCCAGAATCTCATAACATTGACCCATGGCAGTTAGATGCAGGTTTTTAATTGTTGATTAATTTTTTATGTCTGTTTTATTTTAAATGTTTATTAGTTGTGTTTATTTGTTAGCTGCCTTTAGTCCCTATGGGGAAAAAGGCGGGGTAGAAATAAAGATGATGATGATGATGATGATGATGATGATGATTGCACCCATAGTGAACCGTCTGAATAGATTTCAGGGACAAGATTGAGTGAGGAATTTGTTCTTTGTCTGGACACATTTGGATGCCTCTCTCTATTCCTGTCATTTTAAGATCTTTCTGTGTCTGTCTTTTCATGCAAGACGCCTGAAGATGTATCTGCGTTCCTAAGGGTAACTGCAGAACAAAAGCAAAGTCTCATGGTAGCAGTCCCAGTGGGGATTATACATATTTTTTAAAAAAGTTGATGTAAAAGATTCATTAAAATCTACTAAAATTATATCGTGTCTTCTATATACATTCAGCCTCACTTGCCTGGTTATTATTTGATAGGACTTGTTATTTATTTATTATTTATTTATTTATTTACTGCATTTATTGACCGCCGCTCTCAGCCCTAGGGCGACTCGCGGCGGTGCACAACATATAAAAACAGTTTACAAAAAGGGCAAAACAGGGAATCAATACAACAATAATACACTATAATCTAGTTACACTAAATAATCCGCTCCGTCACATCATAGAATCATAACCAATATCGTAATCCGTATTCCGTTCCAGTTGTCAATTACCAGTTGCCGTAGCGCTCAGTTGAATGCCTTCTCAAATAGCCAGGTCTTCAGGCTCTTACGGAAGGAGAGAAGGGAAGGCGCCTGTCTGATGTCAGCAGGGAGGTTATCCTTCCTAGAGTCATTCCTTTTATAGTGATGGGTTGGAAATTATAATAACGGTAGTACTACATGTGGTGGTAAAATGATGGATTGACAGGGAAATCAAAGACAATACGATCTTTTTTTGTTGTTGCTGCTAAATCAGACTCTTTGCAGAGGAAATTGTTTCAGTGTTTGCTTACTAGAATGCTTGTAGCATAGCAAGCTGAATTAAATATCACCTACGCACTGCACTATGTATTTTTTCTCTTGCTATAAATGATATACTTATAGAGAGAGGGAGAAAGTGTGTCCTTATAGGACCTCTTTGCTAAGTGCCTCTAACAAAGAAGAGCACACTCACCTAGGGCCTTTTCAAGTATGTGTGGATAGGGTTGCAGTTATGTAATGCTGGTTGTTGCCAGAGCAACTTCTTACATAATACCCAGGGCTTCCTGGTTGCATTGATTAATGCAGTGGAAAAAAGCCTTAGCTGTCTTTCACTGTCTGCAGCGCAACAGTCATACCTTATTATATAAGTACCATTGATATTGGGGTTTCCTTGTTGTCTCGTGAGCTGGTTCTAACAAGGAAACAGATTAAACAGGTTCCTACCTTCTAGCACAGGTGTCTTAGGATCGTAGCTCCCATTATCCCTCACCAGTGGCTAGAAATGATGATGAGTATATACCCTAATCACCTGGAGGGCCATAACATTAGGGCTAATAGTGGTAGCTTCTTAAACTGTGTAGTCCAGCTGACTTGATAGACAGCCAGCAAGATTCCTAGATCCATTGAATTTTGATGAAAAGAAAGATAAGGGATGCAAGGAAAGTTGAAAGTCACCTCGTTCCCTCATTCTATCTAGACTCTATTTTTTCCTTTCTATCAATCTGTACTAAGACTAGAGAAGCTTTGACTTTCCAGTTTTGGTCTTCAACCATGAGCAGTGGCAGCCACCATAATCAGTGGTAAATGGCTGAGGGAGCTATAGGCAACCCCTAGAGTGCTAATTCTCAAACGATCGGCAGCCAGACTAATAACTGGGGTGACTTACAGGGAGAGTCAACCCCCCTGTTTAAGGAGCTCCACTGGCTGCCGATTATTTTCTGGTCCCAATTCAAGGTGCAGGTTATCACCTACAAAGCCCTAAACAATTTGGGACCTGTCTACCTTCGTGACTGTATCTCCCTCCATGAACCAACTCGAGCCCTCCGTTCCTCTGGGGAGGCCCTTCTTTCGCCCCTGCCAGTGTCACAAGCCCGCCTGGTAAGTACAAGGGAGAGAGCTGTTTCCTCTGTGGCTCCCTGGCTCTGGAACTCATTACCGGGAGAAATTAGGAAAGCTCCTACTCTAGAAACCTTTAAAAAGAACCTCAAAACCTGGCTCTTCCGCTGCGCCTTTGGTGAGTAGGTATTCAATCCTGCACTATTGATTGTCCTCAATGTCTTTGTCATTGGAGTACACATCCCCCCTCCCCTCTAGGGGAAAGTTGATCCCACAATCCTTGCTATGAGTCCTCCTCCACAAACAATTCGTTTTCTTCTTTATCCTGCCTGAGTTTTTAACCAATTTTAACGAGTCTCTCCTTTAATCATTACATGTAGCCCGCCCACTGTTATTGTGATTGTGTTATTGTAATTTTATATCATTATTTATATGTTTTATGTAATTATGATGTTGTGCTTTGTTTGCGTTTTCGGTTTGTGTTTTCGGTTGTATTTTATTGTATTTTGTTGTTTGGGCTTGGCCTCATGTAAGCCGCTCCGAGTCCCCATTGGAGAGATGGTGGCAGGGTATAAATAAAGATTATTATTATTATTATTATTATTATTATTATTATTATTTTAAACTCTAGTCCTGCATGTATCAAGGATTCTGCTGACGTCCAAAACATTTGGAAGACCAAAACTTAAGAAATATTGACGTCTGAGATTCCTGACCTGTTCTTTTGTCATCCGGCCCTGTGGCAGAGTGGAATGATAGAATAATAAACTATAGTTTATGACTGTATCTATACTGTAGAGTTAATGCATACTGACACAATTTTAACTGCCATTATTCAATGTTATGGAGAGGCATCCAGCTCTCTTTGGCAGTGAAGAACTGCTAAAACTACAACTCCCATGGTTATAGTTTTACTTTAAGCCATAGCAGGAAAAATGGTGTCAAGCTCCATTCATTCTACAGTGTAGATATACCCCAGGTCTCTCTGTCTGTGGTGGGTTGATATCAATTTTCTGGAAACCCCTTATATAATTGTGTGCTTATTTCTGTTTTCTGGCAAAGTATAAAAAACACATGGGACAGAGTGCAAAGGTACACCTCTGTGTTATTAAAATTCTTCCGTTTGTGCAAAAGTGGGAATTGCTATATCTAATCTGATACTTTAGTACTGAATCTCTAGAGCCCTGGGCTACTTTCAGGACAATTTGGCGGAAACTCACGTCACAGGCTCACTGAATAAGTGAACAAGAGCTCCATGTTGGCTTGCAAAGTTCTTTTTAAAAAGAAAAAAAATCATTTCTTGCAACAGTGTTGAACCTGTAGCCCAGTGGTTCCCAACCTGTGGTCCGTGGACCACCAGTAGTTCCTCAAGATGGTGACTACTGGATGGCATATGTTCTGCATCAGAAACCAGAGCTGGTGTCGTCTATCCAATGCAATTTTATTAATTAATTAATTAATTAATTAACTTTACTTATATACCGCTGTTCTCAGCCCGAAGGCAACTCGGGCTGAATCAGCACCCCAAATAACCAAACTAAATCTAAAATTGACCAAAAAAACTGATTAGTAATCCTTTTAACACTTATATTGGATAGTGGTCCCTGGTCAAAGTTGTCCCTGGTCAAAAAAAGGTTGAGAACTACTGCTATAGCCCTTCAGAGCATAACTGCACCGTTTCTAAACTCTTGACTATACTGGGCATGGGCCAATTTGAAAACATCTGAAATGCTACAAGGACCCAGTGTTGATCATAGCTACGCATTCTCGAAACATATTTTTCAGCTTTTATTTTCAAAACCAGAAATGATATGCTTCCTCTTGGGATGTGTGTGTGTGTAATAAAGCCTTGCTTCATCGCAGATTTCCCTCTCACAAAGGCTTCCCTGATGACAAGTTTTTTTTCCCCTCCATTTTTTTTTTACAAAGAAGCAACAAATAAACCTTAACTGGTGAAATATGCATGTGGTTTTTGTGAGCTGTGTGTTCCTCCTATCTAATCCAAATGCTATTGCCGTACTTCCACTGTGATTTGATACCCATTCCCCATCAGATTATATACAGACAGATAAGCGCTTTCAGAAAATCAATTACAGAGCAATTCAATTGTTTGGGAGGAAAGCAAGAAACTGAATTTACTTAGCCATCTCATTTCCCTTTGAAAATTGCTGATACAAGTAGCCAAGTAGATGTGCTTGTGGGCATTACTTATTTAACAGAAATCTTGGCACTAGAGGTAGAAATAATGTGAGAAAAAGAGGGACACATCAAAAATTAAGGACAATCCAATTTGTCCTAGTAGATTTTTAAATTCAAAGTTGCAATTGTGAAATGAAAAAACCAGATCAGGTAAGAAACAAAATCACTTTGAACCTTCTACAGTTTCTTCCAAAATATATATAGGAAGGCTGTTTTCTTCCATTAGCTTCCATTCCTCTTATGGTTTCTATTTTGGTGAACAGATTAATA